TTCTTTATAATTCCTAACATTTGCTTTATGATGGCTACTGAGCACCAGCTGACATTTCAGTGCAAATATCTTTCTCAGTAACAAAAATTGCTCCTGACTGGCAACAGTTATCTCTGTGCACTTTGTATATGAAAGTAGAATTCTTTCCTTCTCATCCTTTTACATTTAACTATGCTGAATTTCATCTGCCTTTTTTTTCCTCTTTCACTTATCTCATAAAAACCTTCTGCATTTTTTTCTAGTTAGGCCTCATCCTACCTTAAATAATTTAGTATCATCACCCAACTTTTACATCATTGCTCACCCTGCTATGCAGGGCAGTGATAACCATATTAGGCAGAACAATTCCCTGCACATATTCCTGTGGAATTCTACTGCTCATCTTCCTTCACTAGGAGAATTAACTATTTACTTCTACTCTCTGTTTCCTCTTTTATAACCAATTATTTATCTAAGTTATGACCTTATTACCTCTTATGGGTGGCTGCTTAATATCTAAATCTAAGTAATCTATCTATTTGATATAATCAAATCCCCTTTATCCATATGCCTGTTGATCATTTCAAAGACCTCCAAAAAATTTCCAAGACAGTAGTTCCCTTGGCAAAAGCCATGCTGACTTTTCCAAGGTAAAATATATCTATTCACACCTATACCAATTCCATTCTTAATTATAGTTTATCCTAATTTTCCTGCTGTAGACACCAGGTTTACAAGCCAGAACATTTTGTAGATTTTTTTTTCATTATTATTATTATTTGTTGTTTTGTTTGCCATCCCCCAGTCTTCAGCAAAGGAGTTTTAAAGATTATATATCAATGTTATTAATTCAGCTACTTCATCTCTGGTTTTCTTCAGAAAGTCTAAATGTTCCATGCTCCTCTCAGGTTGGTTCTCTTGACTTTGACAGTTAATTCCATAATCTCTGCTTGTGTCTAAAGTATGTCTTCTGGAAATTCCCTGCAAAGAAGAGAGAGAATGAAGAATTTTGCATTCAGATAGAACAGTCAAGAAAGTTGATTCTATCCAAGAAGGAAATTTTTCAGTTCTGTAAAGTCTTCTAAAAAGCTGAAAGCTCAAAGTTAATTTCCCTTTTTAGACAGAAAGCTAAGACGTTTAGCTTTTCTTTTTAGTTTAGACACTTACTAGGGCTGCAAGGACGTAACCACAGTCTTTCTAAGCAATTACAATATCTATATATGATATGGCTACGGTATTTTTTCAATAAGAATTTTTGGCCATTTCAAGTCTAAGAGATGGTCTATTTGTTTGTCTTTCCCTTTCGGTAGTTACCAGATATATAAGCAGTTTTAACTAGATGAGAAACATTCTCATACCTAGAGCTTGCTTTTATCATCTCCTCATTCTTTAAAATAGGTTATCTTAAAATACTGCTGCTAATTTCTGCTTGTTCCCCTTATGCAGCAGAACACAGTACAGCCTTATGCAAGCAACAAGTAACTCTAGAAAATGAAAAGTTACTGGGAAAATAATAAAGACTGGATAATTTATGATATATGGCAGCACTGACAATATGAAAAAATAATTGCTTGCACATGCAGCCTACAGAAATACCTTTTAACTTTCCTGCAGCAACTACTTGCACAATCTCCTGCCACGAAAGAGGTTGGTTTAAGGTAGTGCTGACTTTGCATTTGTAGTGGGGTAAGTGCTCAGCCAGTCAGGTATTGCAGCTCAACTGAGATACCTTAATTTATTCAATTGCAGTAACCACTTACTTACATTTCAATGATTTGAGATAGGAATAGGAAAATTGTGTCTCCAATGAAAAGAATATAGTTTGTAACTCTTCCTACTCCAAGCTCTTACACATCAGAAAATGAGCAAAGGCTTATTCTCTTAAGGGGACACTGCTTGGTCAACAGATGTTCTGCAAAGTGGAAGATGAACAATATTGGGTGTAAGACCATGTGTTGTTACAGCAGTCATCTTGTTACTGCAGAACTTTATGCACTCTGCATTCTCTTCTCATTATAATATTTTTCCTATTCAACTATAAACTCATTAGGGTCCATCAATATGACAAGCTGTCCAGTTTGCATCTCTCAGCTATTTGGATACTTGTTAATAATCATCTTTTCTTTATTTCATATCCATAAGTCAGCAGATAAGTAATGTATGACTTAGCCATCTTGTATGCCACAGTAATTTGGCCATTGGCAATGTATGACAATCTGAATTTTGATCATATGGCTGAAACAATACACCTTTTAAAACATATTTTTCTAAATATTGCTAATCTACATTTTCAGTGAAACCACATGTAACTAAAGTTGTATCTCACTTTGAATAAAACAATTTTAATGTCTTGCTCTTTTTTGTTTAATGAACTTCATAAAACTGAATTGAAAATTGTATACTGTATTTTCACAATTTATGATGGTCTGACCTCTATATTTCTATGTTTATATGAACATTCTAGAAATTCACCAGGTTTTTCAGCCCCTGAAAGGGACCTGTAAAGAAAAAATACTGTTTTCTCTTTGCACTGAAATTTCTAAGTCCAGGGACACTGTTCTAGAAACCTGTTCTAGTGGAAGGTGTGCCTGCCCATGGCAACGGGCTTGGAACTAGATGATTTTTATTGTCCCTTCTGACCCAAACTGCTCCATGATTCTATGAAATTGCAACAGCTGAAAACATTTTGAAAACACAAATACCAAGTATTTTATCTTCAGGTTTTCCTCAGTTTTTCTTGTTAACAGCTGTGTACCTTGGTACCTTGTTAAGATCCACTGTTGGGAAGGGTTATGAAAAAAATGTTGCCTAATTCTAAAAGTTTCATCAAAGTAGAAACCAAATACATTCTAAAGAAGATATTTGAAATTATAAATTTTAAACTTTGATAGAAAACAAGTGAACCTGTTTCCTCTAATCCATCTATCTTGGGTCATGGAAGTAGGGGAATAGCTTCTAGGTAAAACCAAAAATTTAAGCAAGAAAGATCATAATTGTTTCTAAGCTGCAATTTAGTCATTAAGTAACAGTACATCTGCATAAATAGAATTTTAACAATTTATATTAAATGCCTAATTAACTTGAGAAAAGCAATTTAGTTTGGTTTATAATAAAACAAAGATCCCTTTTCAGCAATCAAAAATTATTTTTGGTATTTTTGCTTAAGCATCATTTGAATTGCTGAAGTGGAATTGCTAATTATCTAGTTTGATATTGATTACATTGCTGTATTGTTTATTTTTGCTTAAATATAAGCAATGTCTTGTTATTACTGATAGTGACAATTGATGTACTATTACTCTTGTTCAAATGTTTTTATACAAATATAAAATACTGAGATGATTTTATATGTCAGTAACTTTCCTGTAAGCTAGTGGACTAAGAAGCTTTAGCAACTTGATTGGTCTTTGTGTCTCCTATATCAAACACAAGATTTTAAAGTTTAGTTTTAGGCAATAATTTTCTTGGTTTTGTTGCAATATCTCAAGAAGATATTTTATGTATTTTTTGACTGCAGCAGTAAGATCTAGACACAGTCTTTAGATATTGGTTATAGAACAAGGAATTATGCGATGTTTTCTTAGAAATTAGTCAAGTCCAAATTAAACAGAATATTGTATTTCCTTCTTTTAAACCTCTTGATTACTGAATTATGACGGCTCAGTTTGCAAAGAGGATCCACCATTGGTCAGTAAAAAAAATTCCTCCATACTAGACTCAGTAAAAGTGTCTGATCCTTAGTTTTTTTCTCCCTAAGGACTAAACGCAGTACAAAGAGCTTCAAAGTGTGCAAAAGAGTGCAGAAGATCTCTGAATGAATAGAACAGTTGTTTTCTGTGCTCTCTGCTAATGCTGCTCTTGCAGTTTAGGAACAGCAATTCCCAAACAGGCTAATGTGCTGTCCTGGCAATTTCAGTAGCACTTTGACATACATGGCACACTTGTGGCTGCAGATAAATCACTTCTGCTCATCAGACATTCCAGACAGTGAGTCTCTACAGAAGGACTGATGCAGCATCATGCTTTTGAGATCTCTGGTTATTTCAGCCACAGTGAAATACTACATAGTAGTATGATAAGAATGAAAAACCCAATAGGAAGTCAGCTAATTCAATAATCTCCATAATTTTACCATGATCAAATTCCTATCACTCACTTCAGGAAATGCACCAGTTAACATGCTAAAAACCCTTGTGATAACTTCTCTTCTGTTAATAACGAACTGTAACTTCTCCTAGAGTCATGAAAGATAGTTTGTGAAACATATTTCACCCCAAGAGTCATACAAAAAGGGTGCATCTGATACTAAAGATTGTCGATGAAATCACTGACTCTTGAAAAGGAAGCACGAGCCATCCTCATGTTTTTTTATCCAATATCTGACAAATGTGAAATATATAAAAGGCCTGAAACAAGGTGCTGGGTAGCAGGACAGGTATTCCTCCAGCTCACTTTCTTGTCAAGCACTATATCTTGTCAATGGAAAGTTGAAACTGAAATGCCCTGTAAAGAAAATTGAAAGCAAGGCTTCAGCTCTGTGGGGAGCTCTAATCAATTGACAAAAGGAGAATCATATTCAGACCTTGAGAAAATGTTACAACTGTTGGTTCTGTGTTTTGTGCTAGGTTTGATAGCGTCACCACTGAAAGAACAACATTCTGCACACAACTAAAGCATTAAGCCTTTCATAGAAACTCCTCTTGTGGTTCATAACAGCACTGGGAAACAGAATTGCTTAAAAAAAAATGAAATACATTATTTAAAGAAAAAAGGAGCATTTAAAATCAGCTTCAAATTTTTGGGGTCTCTGCTCTGATTCTGCATTGCAATCAGAATATACAACATTTTGTGCCTCTCTGGACCAGAAACCTGACTGCATGATAGACAGGTTCAGGATCTGCAGTTAGATTAATATCCAAACTCATCCTTAACACATCACCCAACAACATCAAAAACAGAGATATGGCTGCTGCAGCTAGGAAAAAGAATGTTTTCCCTCCTAGTAATAAAGGACAGAGGTTGTCAAACCATGGTACTTCAGTAGAATGATGTCTATGGAAGACAAGGCAAAGACTCAAAGATCTATTTTTTATTTTTCAAACACATACCAAAAAAAGCCCCACCAAAAAACAAGACAGAGCCAAGATAAAAAAGGCACTCAGAATTCAACAGGAAACCTTTTAGTGGCTCTTGAGCCAGTCAATATTCCTATGCTACATGTTTTCTTTTGCATCCCATGTAGTACTAATGACAGATTAATGAGCCACAAAGGTAGAAGTGGGAGTTTGAAAGCCAGTTAGATGCTGTGAATTTTCCCAAACGTGTCAAAATAAGAAAAGTGACTGTGCTAAATAACTCAGTGCCAGTACACTGGAGAAAATGAGTGCTTAATAAAATTCATTGCTTTTATTTGCTTCCTTGAGGCATGGTGATGTAGCTGCTCCACACTGAGAAGCATGGAAGTACACATAGAAAAATAATAGACAAGAGTATATTAATCTTCAAAATCAGTATTTCATTTAAACTTACAGTCATCTGCTTAAGAAAGAATTTTATTCATATGTCATACTTATGTGAGTGTTAGAGGGTTTTTATAATTACTTTTTGTTACAGTAATGTTTTGAAGACATGGATTGAATCTTCATGGATGGGGTCTTTTTAATAGTTATATGTACGTAGAAACTTGTAGAAAACTGAAAATAAGTGTCCATCTAAAGAAGACACTTTTAGCTAAGCATCACAAGTCCCTGCTTCTCTAGTAGTCATCCCTGGAAAGAAATTTTGTGAATCAAATGCTTTGTCTTTATGTTTGACCTACAGCCTTCCCTGGATCACTGACAGAAACCCTGCGGAGATAGAAAAGGACAGATATGGACACAAATATTATTTGGCAGCCCATTTCTAAGCTAATGTCAATTTTAATTTTGGCCTGAAGTGCAAACGTGAAACTGCCAAGAGATTTTGGGTGAAGATGCAGGAGGAAACATTTATTTCAGATTTTGTGAAAAGGTAGACTTCAACCATTGTCTTTGGAAAAATTAAAAATAAAATCTTGTTTGAAGCCCCACAAATCATTTTGTAGAAGCACTTTACTGATCTCTGTTCTTATATGTTTTCAGCACAGATAGCTGTCTTTGTCACAGAAAAATTTTCTGTTACTTGGATGGGGACTGATTCCAGTTCAGTGACAACAACACTGCAGAAAACCTGTTACGGTTCACCTCTCCAAAACTAACACATAGGTGGAAATTGGCTATTGATCCTCATAGCACTAGAAGTTCCCATGACACTGTCCTTTTGAAAGACAGAACAAAAGGTACTTTAAAGACAGAAAAGTCAAAACACTCAGTTTCCATATAAAGGTGAACAGAGTAACCCATTGCCCAGACAGTACAACCATGTGTTCAGTTTAGCCATGGCTCCTGCTTTTAAGTGTCACCTGCTTGTAGAAAGCATTAGCAAATTCGGAGAAACAATAAAAACAACAACAACGTGGACAGCTCTTCAATATTAACAAATCATGGAATGGACATGTTCCAAAGCTAGCCTTGAACTTCTGCAGGGTGGATTGGAGGAGGAGAGATGAGCTTGCACACGGCAATTTTAATTACTAGGAAATCAAAGTTGTACATCAGAAGTAGGACTTTTCTCTCTAAATCAAAAGGACAGCAGCAAAGCGATCAGCTTTGTGTTAAACGAGGAAAGGATCTTCCCTGTGGAATGGATGATTTAAGAATGCATCTGAAAATAACCATGACAGCAGCAGAAAAAAACACACATCTGTGAGCTTGCAGCTTCCTCCCGTACTGACTTGGTGAAAGGTGAAAAGGAGGAACACAGAACATTTCCAACAATCTGTCCTTATATTTGGTAGGTTGATGCCATCTTCAGTATTGAATCTAATGCTGTGAGTTTGCTTCCACAAGGAGAAAAAAAGAGTATGTCATTTATAATGACTATTGACTTTTGTATTTCAGGAAGTGTCCTCACCCATGATCTCATTTAACAGAGTCACTATTTAAAACAAAGTCCTTAGATCAGAAGTTTGATTTTTTTCATTATTTAGAAAAAAAAAATCTACCTTTCTGAGGCTGACTTGTAATAATTCAAGCAATAGATTTTTGGTTTATGCTTAGTATGTCTTAATGTTAGGAGGGATAGAGGGATATAAAAGTCTTAAAAACCAACAGTATGAACTTAAAACTAATAAAAGGAAATATAAGGTGAGCCAATCACTGTAAATATCACACATATTTATCTGCAAAGCTGTGCTATCATACACTTTCTGAACAGTACCAGACAAATAAAACCAAGTATTCTTGTCAGTGGTCCCTGTGTGGAAGAAATATCACTTATTATTGACAGAAAAAACATTATTTCATTCATATTGACCTCTCCCTGAAAGAAATGCTTTTGAATGGGAATTTTCTTGGTTTCATTTTGATTTTTTTCCTCCAGGTTATACCAAACACATTGACATTTCTGAAGGCAATTCAGTGATGTCTGATGTTGGCTTTCCCATTGGAAAAATGGCACAATCTCTCATAAAAAAATCTTATAATAGTTAAGGATTTTAAAAATTTCCAGTTTTAAGTTTGAAAGGCATTATGCAGGCACTCTCTGTAGATGGGGAAGGTCTTTAGGCAGGGTTTCCAGCTTAGAAAGGTACCACAACCCCCTGAGCTCACCTGCTTTTATCCCACGTAAGTGGAGAATCATCCCCTGTAATAATAGAAGCATTTTACCTGTGGCCACATATGACATTAGCTTGTCATTAGGATCACCTTACATGAAAGTATACGATGTTTGAACCTCGAGTACTGTGTTCAGTTTTGGGTACCTCACTTCAAAAACTACATTGAAAGGCTGGAGTGTGTCCAGAGAAGGGCAAAAAATCTGGGAAAGGGTCTGTTGGATCCCAGAAATCTGGAGCTTTTGAGCTTTCCATGCTTTCAGGCACAGACCCCCTGGAAAACACTGCTTTTGACCTGAGGCCTTGGAGACAGCTTCTAAATATGAGAGATGAAGTAAAAATCACGAGTGTGTAGTGAATTAGAAAGAAGTGTGTGCTTTCAGAGGGTGATGGGTTTTTAAATTTGAGGTTTTTATAGTATAGTAATAGGCATAGGACAAGATGGAGGATTTTGGGCGTTGTATCTTTCTTTGTTCATCTTTCTTCTTCCTTCTTCTTCGTGGTTTTCAGGTAGTAGTTTTTGGTTGGTCAGTTAGTGTCACTCTAAGGGTCATGGGAATCTAGTTATGGGGTCAAAAGTATAAATAATATAGGTGTTAATTCTCTACTGGACTGTTTAGCCTTAAAAAGACCTTGTAGCAGTTGCCTCTGTAGGCATTTTCCCTACTTCTAGCAAGGAGCTGGAAGTGCTGTCATACTTTCTGTACTTTCTGATAAGATATAATAAACATCCAAGCCTGAACACAAGAAAAACCTGTTTCAACCGTGTTTCTGTTAATCCTGGCTCTGAGAAGAAGACAGACAAGACTGATTGACAAACCACAAACGAGGAGGTGCACAGCCCCTGCACTGCTGCCCACAGGTCTAGAAAACATGTCCCAGGAGGGATGTGGGCTTTAGTCTGGAGGAGTCTCAGGGGACAGAATTGCTGTCTGCCACTGCCCAAAAGGAGGCTGCAGTGAGGTGGGGTCAACCTTCTCTGACACATCTGAAGTGAAAGGACAAGTGGAAATGGCCTTAAAATACACTAGCAGAGGTTCAGATTAGATATTAGGGAAAAAAAACTCACCGAAAGAGTGGTTAGGCACTGGAATCAGTTGCCCAGGGAGGCGGTGAAGTCACCATCTCTGGAAGTGTTCAAGAAGTGTCTGGGTGGGGTATTTGGGGATATGATTCAGGGGTGATTATGGTGGTGCTGGGTTGATGGTTGGAATAGATGATCTTGAAGGCCTCTTCCAAAACTGATGATTCTCTGATTATGTGATTCTGTGCTTTATTTTTTGATCACTGCTGCAGAATCTTGATTATAATATTTTTTGTGTTCAGACTTGATCTCTCTTATCCAGCATCTTACTGGAGTGCAGCAGGGCTTCCATGCCTGTTTTCACATCATCCACTGGCTCACAATTGTTTATTCATTGATTTTTCATTTATTAGTCGATCTTGAAGGTGTCTTCCAACCTTGATGATTCTGTGATTCTGTAAAGATGATTCAAATATGCCTGTCGAGAAGGAAGCATCAAAATGCTTACCCACTCAGGAATATACAAAGTAATTATCATACTGTAATGACTTTTAAATTAAGAAAATATGTTGCACTTTTGAGCCTCAGGCTAAGTTTACTTATTCATTGTCTGAGACTGAATCTGAAGAAGTCTCCAACATTGATACAGACATTTAAAATATTTTGCTAGAGGCTACTTTTTAAATAACTGACTGAGTAATTAGTAACATCAAAGTGTGGAAGTCTGCATCACCTTTGGTATCCACCTACTGCCATAAATAAAACTTCTCATATGCTGTGGCAGTGTCTTCAGTGCTGAATTGCTCTTGATGGCTTTTTGAGTGAAGGCAAAGGACAGTTTTCAAAGCTGAAATTCTGAGTAAAAGGAAGCAGCAGGTATACTTTTCAGGTTGCCCAAGTCCCCGTGATTAAATGATTGTCTTCTTTCAGTAGGCTAGCATGACAAAATGTTATTCTGCTCCAACCTGAGTCCTTGGCAACATATGGAAATTTTCTTAAGGAAAAGGAGGTGAATATACAATTTCTGTCACCATCTTCTCTACTCCAAACACCTTTTGTCATCACCTCGTCTCACCTCCTTTCTAGGATTTTTTTTTATTCTCCCTGCCTCTGTTTATCTTTACTTTTGTCATAAGTGATTTTCTCTTGGAAGACTGAGTTTGACTTCTCTGCTCTGCCAACTCTTTCTGCTAAAGCAAACATAAATCATTAAGAAGCCAGGGTCAAACAAAGCAAAAACAAATAATCCATAGTCAGTGTTTTAGCATGTCTGAAAAATAGGAATGACTCCACATTTTTTAATTCCTAGTAGGCCGTTCGATCTGCAGTGTTCCTGTGCTTCCCAGACAGCATAAAAGGGAATCTCCCTTCTTGCTCTGGGTCTCCCAACGTTTTTCATTCTTTCTACCAGGGACAGAAGAAGCCTAGAGGAGGCAGACAACACTGTCTTTTTTTCTGGGATTTCTTTGGCAATTCAAAAGTCTATCTGCCAGACTTTATCTATCAATCCACTACATTCTGCCTTGCATCACTGGGAGGCAAAGAAAAGACTGTCACTCAAATGACCCCTACCCCACAGTGGCACAGCATCTTCTAGTTGCAAGAAAGCAGAACTATTTTAGTTAAATTAATATAACAAAAAAACTCCACCTATTAAAAAAAAAAAAAAGAAGAAGAAAAAAAAGACAAAGCAGATGCTCGGTGTTCAGGCCCTGAAAACACCACTACTAAAAAAGTGTTTAAGACGATCTATATCATGCTGAATTCAAGTGATGTATAAAATTAAAATAACCAATTAGCATAACTAAATATTCCAGGGATTTCCAATACCCCTATTAACTTGGTATATGAGTATTTCATAGTCTTAAATGTATTTTCTTCCCAGTAGCACTGTCAAATAGCAAGGTATTATTAATTCCACACATGGAAACTGAAGCTCAGAGTGCTGAGATGGTGTGTTTGTCTGTGCATTGACATTAAAGCATGGCAAGATCCATGGGTAATTAGGACACATGGTTTATAAAAGTGTCATGAAACTTCCCAGGTTCAAATCCACATCTGTGCCAGCCTCCAAACACCAGCTCAGATAGAGCCAGTCTAGCACTTCTGTGGGGTCTCGCTCTGCATGGGTTTAGAGACACTGCAAAATTTACACAAAAATAGGAAACTGAACTGGGGCGATGAAAATGAGAGAATCAATACCCTCAGTGTCAGGCCATCCTTCCTTTTTAGGTGTTGAATTATGGCAAGGACATATAACAAAAGGTAAATACTTTGGAACTGATCTTTGGGCTCATCACCACTTAAGAGGAATAGGAATGACACAGCAGGTGTACTTTACAGAAATGCTGCCTCCTTTATAAACTAACATAGAAATAGCATAAAACTTTAAATAGAATTTCACAGCTAACCCTTGTTCTACATAATCCCCAAGTCATTTATAGTAATGAGAATTTTAAAAAATGGACCAGAGTAATAACATATTGTACCCACTTTACGACAGTGTGACTAACAAAACAAGACAGAAGGAGAAAGCAAATTAGACCCCCTGTGTGTGTTATATTGTTTTCCATACCTGAATGTTAATGGCTTTCATATTTATTCAGTTCACAATGAGCAGGCACATAAAATACCCTGTCTGCCCTACACAGTCACTTATATTCCAAAAATGGTATGTAGACATTGTCAGTGAAATTTGGGCCACATCATTTTATTGATTTTCCAGCAGTCTAGCAAAATCAATGGACAACTCTGCTTAGCAATCAATGGTATTATCTGACCATTAGTTGGTATTAGAAGAGAGATCCAAACATAGACATAGCTAATAGCACATATACGTCTCTTTAAAGCTGTGCAGATCAAACAAAAAAAAGTGATGGCAACTTTATCTCATATGGAAAAACTGCTAATAGAAAAGAAAACAATAGCAGGAAAAAAATGTTGCTATCACATAATTTCTTAAAGAACACAAATCACAGAAAGCAAGCTGTCAGGGCTTTTAGTAAAGAATCCTCATTCCCCAATGTAACAGGGACATGGACCTGTTGAAATGACTCCAGAGGAAGGTCATGAAGATGATCAGAAGGCTGAAGTACCTTTTCTGTGAGGGCAGGGTGAGAGACTTGGAGCTGTTCAGCCTGGAAAAGGCTCCAGGGAGAGCTTATAGCACCTTCAGGTATCTAAAGGTGCCTGTAAGAGAGATGGATAGAGATTTTTACAAAGCCATGGAATGATAGGACAAGGGGTAATTGCTTTAAATGGAAAGAGAGGAGGTTTAGATTAGATATTATGAAGAAATTCTTCACAGTGAGAGTGGTGAGACAACGAAATAGCTTCCCCAGTTGTCGATGCTCCATCCCTGGAAGTGCTCAGGGCCAGGTTGGATGGGGCTTTGAGCAACCTGGACTAGTAGAAGGTGTCCCTGCCCATGACAGGGGGGTTAGAATCGAGTAATCTTTAAGGTCTCTTTCAATCCAAACCACTCTATAATTCTATGATGTTAACACCAGTCACACCAAAATCTGTAGCATTTCAGATTAGCAGTTGCTGTTGAAAATCTTACCTATTTCTGTCAGCAACAGGAATCTGCGGGCAAAACCTTGAACCCAACCATTAAGCCCCAAATCTTGGCAATTATTCTTGTGCACTTTTTACTTCCAGTTAGTACTAAGGAAAAGAGATAACAGGGTTCAAAACCCTTAGCCAGAGCCAATTCACCAGATGGACTTTGAAGTCACACCTTACATTGTCAAATGTATGTGTTTTCAGGACTTGTAATATTTTTAGCCACGCTGCTTCCTTTGATCTGTGCTGAGTTTTGAATTGTTCAGACAGCATTTGATCAAACTAAAAAAAAAAAAAAAAGAAAAAAGAGTGCATATGTGTGCTACAGTGACTTCAAGCAGAAACACAGATAATTCCATTTGCCTCAATGATAGAGACTTCCTGCACAACATCTCAGATTTAATGCTCAGTAGGATGAGAGAATATGAGGCATTGTCTAAACCAGTTAGATACTTGGTGAAATTGCAGCAACATGTTTAAAGCTATCTCAGCTGACTTTATTTTATATTCTATTAATTTCTGCATAGGTATGGCTGGGTGTCACTACGACACTGGTACCAGTGTCCATGTCAGTATAGCTGCCCTTTTGGACAGAATTTTACCTAATGCCTTCAGGATTTTTATTCATGAATGCTATTTACTGCAGTGCCAACATCTTTGGGTAGCCCTAGTCCCACCAGAATTTTAAAATTTTAATCCTAGCTCAATAGAACCAGACAAAGAGCTGATAAGATAATTGCTGATATGAGGTAGGAGAGCTGTAAGACCCACCCTTGGTTCACCCCCAATCATTCAACAGTACACCAAAGAAAATTAAAAACCCTTTTGTGAAACTATATTTCTGCCTTTGGCCATGCACTGATCCATTACCTACTGACAGTCCGAAGAGCTGTATTGAAAATATAGCAGAATTCATAAATTAGATCTCTCCCAGTCAGAACACAATGAGAAAAAAACCTGCAAGTGATCTATATCTCATCTTGTACAACAGATGACAAAATGATAGCAACATGAGATTTGTTCTGAGTAGCAGTTTAGCAAATGAGTAATACCAGGAAGATCAGGAACAAATTCTTGGTTTATTTGATTTCTATCTGTTTGAAGAGTCCCATGAGTACTGGTCTGGAGGTGTGCTACTTTGAATCTGCCTTTATATGCATACTCACTGGATCTAGGCCACCAAGGTAATGGCACTAACATTCTCAGTCTTTGCTCCAATGAATAATTATTTCCCTAATAATAATTTTATTATTGAAAGTGGAAAATTTTTTTTTTCCTGAAATGAAGTGTTATATCTCCATTTGGTCAAAAGTGCAAAAGATGAAAAGGGTAAAAGATAAAAAAACTCCTCTAAATATGAAATCTTCTTTTCTACAGTTTAAGTTCCCTAGCACATGCATACAGTCTTTCAAGTGCCCAACTAAGTCTGGGATGAACAGAATGCTTAACTTTCATCTCCATTGAAAATTTTTAACTTTTTCCATTCATATATATAATATTATATTTAATATTCAGTCTTTTCCCCAAATGAGTAAATATCTCTTGATATATCTGCATGAATGGCAGGTATGTTCTGCTCATTAACTGAATCGTGCATGTTAGAGACCAGCTAATGAATCTGTCTGAGGACTGTGTCTGCTCAGGATGTCATCAATTCTTTGCATAAAAGACCAGTGTAGGAGTTTCATTAATGTCTCTTTAACTGCTTTTTAATTAGCAATTATGGGACTTTCCTATGATTTTTCAAAAGTTAATACACAAATAATACAAAGTGTTTTTAGCAAAGAATAAAAGTGCTTTAAAAGGAAAATCCCTTTGTGCCATAAATATGGTCCTGAGAAATAATTGCCAGCTGGCTTTTTTAATACTTATTTTCTACAGGAGAGACCATGACAGCTATATTCACTCCAAGGGGACTGAACAAGTACAGAGCTCTGCTGGGACTTCTTCTCTTAAACTCGCTTTTCATGCTTGTATTTTTCCTACATCCTTTTGCAGTCCATCAGACCACCACAGACAATTATTAATGGATATCATGTGTTTTGGTCACTGAGGAGACTTAAAATGCCTGCTACAGATTTGTAAAGCCAATCTGCTGTATATGAAGGACAAGGGAATATAGCTTTAACTGTGACTCAGTTAGCCCTTCTTTGAATTAGTGTGCTCATGAGAGCTGAAAATTAATACATAAACATGTGCAGAGCCTCCTTTGAACACGTGAGCAAGCTTGGCAACTGGTAATTTTAGCCTCTGAAACACAGGGTTGATGGCCTTTACATAATTGGTCCCATGAGACGAACTGCAAAATGTATCTTGAGGCTTTTCCTCTGGGATTAAAGAAAACATCCACCCGGAGAGATTTATCCATAGTAGAAAAAACATTAAAATTAAATATATATGTATATCCAAGTTCAGACTAAATCTTTCCTAATTAATTTTTTGGAAAATTTAGAAAACTTTGGAAATAAATAAAGGAAAAAATAGCCACATAGATTAATTTCAGGAAGATTTCTACTTATTTTAGGTAGTGTTTGGAACAATCTGATACACAAAGAGACTAATCTGACAGCTTGCATTTGCCTCAATGGTTTCATTCACTCCTTCGTGTTCACCAGTAATAGCCAGAGCTGTATCATGAGCAGCAAGGGAAGGAGGTCCCATTGAAACCCACCTTGATGGGACATCTTTACTAGTAAAGCAATAGCAAGAGGCCATGAGTGTGCAATGAGCCATAGCTATTGATTGCTAAAAACCCACACTGTTGAGGAGTGGTGCAATCCATGGCATAACCTTACAGTGCTCCAGAAAAGTAGTATGGAAGAAATTGTCATGATCAAGGAGGGGAAGAGAATTCTGCCACATAGACACATCGTGTTGTGTTACTTTCTGACAGGCTGACAGGATAGGAGCTGGACTGTTTGCTTTATTACAATTGTTTTAACTAAAGCATTAGAAGTAAAAGTTGTAGCATACAGAGACACCGTCATTCCAACTGGAGGAAGATGAACCAGTGGTGCCAACAATGCCAACAATTATCTGTTAGTGCCTTACACTCCTATCTATCTTCAGCTTAAGAGATTCAAATTCATGTAATTTGCATCCCTCAAGATGCCTGAGGTACCATATGGCTTCAGGGCCTCCCCTTCCACCCCTCCTGCTGAAATTTGACCTACCAACCAACAAAGGATTCATAGGAACATAGGAACAGAATGGAAACAAAACCAAACAAAAAAAAATTAAAAAAAATTAAAAAGGAAAGAAAAACCTCAGTCTGTGCAGATGGCCTAATGTAACCTTTAGGTCAGCAGGAGAGTCCTGAACTCTGGTAAATGTTCCCATCACTGTTTATACGTTTTATATTAGGCAGTCACTGGTAAAAATAAAAATAATTCTGAGAGCAGGAATCTGTAATTCAGGCTTCCCGTCACCTCCTTGATGAATATCTTAGCAACTAGGCTGGTTTATTTTTAAAATTATTCCAGTCCCTGACTTAGCTGGAGCAGAATACTATGTGTACAATGTAGTCCTGAATGTTCTTCTGGCCAAACAACACGAATGAGTCTTTAGTCATTAATCAAATTACTCATTTCATATCATGAGGTATTAACTTCGTCAATTCACTTTTCACACTTCTTTCTCTACCAGGCAAGTAACCAAAATCAAGGTTTCTTTTATGGTCCCAGACATTTCTTGGAATACCACAGGTGCTATAGCAAGTAGAGTTACCTAACTGTTTTAATGATGGGGACTGTTACATCAAGTTACTGAAGAGAAAGGTTGCTAAACTGTTAAGGAAGAAGGAGACATAGACCATTAGGGAAAAAATATTCAAAACATTGGCAACATTATGAAGAAAAATCTACTAGTTCACTGTGTGTCCATTAAGATGATGGCATCAGCTTTGTGCACTGTTGTGTATGCTATTCATTCTGTTTAAATATTCTTATCAATATGTTCTCGCATTCAAGCTAAAATGAAAAAATTTTACAAGCAATCTCCTTCTACCTGCCAAATGAGAGAATACTGAAAAGATGCTCTGATACAGAGTGGCCTCCTTCACCTATCCTTTCTATCCAGTCCACTTAAGAAATTATGTTCTTCTCCCTGCAATGCCCTTCTTTTAATATCTTTCGTTTTATTTTCTGTAATGTTCCTCCTTTGTTCATCTGTGGTGGTTCTGAATGCTAATGAGGCCACTTCTGATTTAGCATTTTGTGAGGTCAGTTTGTGAGGACACTAGAGCAGACATTGTATTTTGAATCTCAGATTAATTAAAGAAATCTTGAATGAGGACTCAAGGTCGTTTACTGGGGTAGAAAGAAAAGATTCAAAAACCTATAACCAGCAAATGAAATTAGGGTGAAGGTGTCAAAAATGGTGCAGACAGCTCAGAGATCCTATATCTTAGGGAGAGACTAATTTCAGTATTCATTAGTGCTTGCAAATATACACAGATGGCGGTGATAGGGGAGTACCTACAAGCAGATATTTCAAAACACATTGCCCAAATGGATGCTGGTTCAGAAGGACAAACAATTTCTCTGCATTTATTTTTTTTCTCAGTATGATAATACCTAAAGAAGCCTACACTTCAGAATAGTATTACCATAGAAATAGGACGACCATAAGAGCCATGTATGTGTAAAAGTGGACATTTCTGCACGCACAAGGAAATCTCTGTGTCTTAGCCAAACTGGGTGTTAGGAAAGGAAAGCATCTGCTTTTGTTCACCGTTTAGTTCTATGGCTGTAGATAAATTGCCTGCAGAACATAAGGCAGAGAGAAGCAGAAAATAACTATAAGGTCCAGAGTGGGTGAAACATCTCTGCTAAAAAAACTGTGTCCAGTTGCAACTTTAAAGGCTTGAGAATTCTGTTTTGCATACTTATTTACTCTGTTCTGGTGAGAATGGCCTCACATTTCAACTAGCATGGCTCGGAAGGGAAATGTTTTGTCTTCTTTACAGCTGGATAAAAAGAGGTATGTTCATACAGTGAATATAATTATATCACAGACAACAAAAAACCACCCCCGAAATACTCCAAACCAACCAACCAACCAATAAAATAAAAAACCTCCCAAATCCCTCTTTAAAAAGCTTAAAAAAAAGAGCTTCTGCTTAAAGCCTTGACCAAGACTTTAATTGTTAAGTTTTGATAAAGAATAAATATATTTTCAAGAATTCTGGCTGCAAAAACTTCTGCAGTCACTGGAGAAAGATTTAGACGCAAGTTAATATTCGATCAACTCCGTCTCTCCGTGGAATCCCTCAAAAATGAGGAACCTTGTGTTTCTGTTGTGCTTTTATAGACATTGATCTCTTCAGGGGAAGAGTTATGCTGGTTGATATTGGTTTTCATGTTGAACTGTTCTCCTTTGGACCTAAACCTATGACAAATTTAGAACTACCTAATCTTTTTTTATGTATCTGGGAACAAATGAAGAGAACATAAAGAACTTCCTTAAACCATATCTGATAGCAGCTTTACTCTTCTTCAAAGGGAAGTTAGGGCTGGCAGACCCCCAAACCAAAATATTTTGTCCCGCCATGAAACAATAAATCCAGCAACCAAGCAGCCCATTCATCAAGCAGAGATCTTATTGAGCACGGGAGAACTTGTTCCACAATCTGTATGTGACCATGCACCCCTCCTGCCCACAATCAAGGAAACCAAAGAACCAAACACAGGAGACACAAAGCACCATTACACACTGAAGAGATAAACAGGTAATTTCAAATATTGACAAATTAAAATAGAGCAAAGAGTGGCTCCACCCAGACAGTCAAGTCTCATGAACAGGAACTTGTGATTTCTGCATTCATTAGCCAGACCCTTCACTGCACCCTCATTTCTGAGTCAAAACAATCCCTCCAGATCTGCTGCTGTCAAACTGAAGTTGCTCCCACTGCTGCGGACTGCTGCAGTAATTTTGTTGATTTTATTGATTATAATTGTCATGGCAAATTTACAATAGTCTCCACCACATTCTCCCAAATTACAAGATCTGAGATTGGGCTTGTGAAACAGATACTGCAAATCCCATTTGACAAAGAGAAATTAGTAGAATTTAAGTTCAGTCTGACCTGAGATTTCACAAAGAAATAGAGACCAATCTTCTCAATTAAAAAAAAAAAACGAAAACCAAAAACCAAAAAACAAAACAAAACAACAACAACAAAAAAACCCAAACAAAACAAACAAAAAAACCCAAAAAAAACCAAAAAAAAACCAAAACCAAACCAAAACAAAATAAAAAAAACCTCAGAGTTTTGACAAGTTACACATTTCCTCTGATTGAATTTTAAACGTTTTGGGTTAAGCGTTTTGAAAACAAATAAGAGAGATGGTGTGAAATCATTCTATTTTATTGGAAAAGACCATAGTTAAAGTATTATTGCAGAAATTAAAGGTTCATTTCCTTTGTCTGAATGAGGATACTGAAATTCCCAGTCTCTGTGTAACTGGGTAAGGGGCTCAGGGTGGGCAGTTCCAGCTGTATCTCTATCAATTGGTGATGGGGATGGAACCCCAGAAAAAAATATTTTCTTATGTTTGCATTCAAATAAAAAGTCAGGGGGTCATTTTCTTTTGCTTTTTGACAGTGAATATTTTTGTAATTTATACCTAGGAGTATTTCAAAGAGACCTATTTTGCTCTGCTGCACAGCCTGATGAAGGGTGGTTAGGGAACCTGTCTCAGAATTTCATAATGATTGTCTATCTGCTTTGCTCAAACCAAGGCTTCCCAGTGCAGGAACAGTGCTCTAACTACCAGGCAAGAGGTAGAGCTGTCACATCTCCTCTTTAATGAGCATTTAAAATACTCTGGTCTGCGCTTCCAGACAAACAAACTGTCACAGAATGTCATTATAACAATGTAATGAATGTATTTATATGCCAATGTATATATTCAGAAGCTGCTTCTCCTACTGAAGAAAAAGGCACTAATCTGAAGTTGCTGCCACTTGAGCTGTAAGGACATTTGCATTAACTGTTCTCTTTTTCTCACTGATATGTTAATCTCTCAGCTTAGAGCACCAGGCATTGTTCTGAGCAGGGACAGTCATAGAGTCCTGCCAGGTGGCATGTTTTAAGCCTTACCTATTAGCTTAATAAAGCCCTTCTTTACGTACAGCTAAGATGGATGAAAAATACTAAAAGTCTTGGGATCCCATAATTTCATTCTTCTGATTACTAGGGGGTGTTGAGGAAGGCATTTTATGCAAACTATACATAAGTACAATTAAGTGTCTGCTAGGACATGCATCAAATACTTCTTCACAACTACAGAATGGTCCCAAGAAAAATCTTGCTGGTCAGTCAGAAGCTGTTTGGAACACTGTGTTAATTGGACACACAATAGGATAAATCTCAGCTCAGATCCCTGCTCATTTTTCTCCAATGCAGACTACACATCAACTATCCAGAAGAAAAAGAACCTTTTCTGGCATGTCTTCAGGGAGTTCCCAGCAACCCAGAGACCATAGCTCACAGCTGTTGCTTTTTATTTTCAGTTTTCATTTTTACTCATTTTCAGGGCACTACAAGACTTACTCATTTTCTTTCAGCAGCTGAACTACTGTAAATGTTATGAAGAGTTTAATAACGTATGAAGCATCCTCTCAGAAACCATCAGCCAAGCACTGTATATTACAGACTCGCAGTGTTTTCATCAATAGCACAGAGCAAATGCTCAGGATGATGAAAACTGGACTCATTGGACTTTCCTGTACGTGCTGCACTATGACAGATGGATTTCAGACATTAAATAGGAAGAAAGAAATCCAAAAACCCTCACGTGAGGCCATATCCTGAGTTTTTGCTGCAGCGAATTCATATCAGCTATAGTTTGAAAAATGGAGGGGAGGTAAAAAAATTGGGAACGAAAATGTGAAGAGTGAACCTGTGGCAGTGATCTAAATGATAACATGTAGTTATTTTTTCCTTTCTATATGCAGTACTGTAAGCAGACTTCTGATGCTGAGGGCACATCAATAAGTTATCATAAACAGCATTTAAGTATTGAGGAATTTGGTGTCAAACCTTTGATTCCTGTGCCACTCGCGCTTCAGCTTGCACTTTCTTTTATGCTGCACTCTTTCAAACTTTGATCCTTCCTTCTCCCAATTTTAGAGCTCCTTTCAGTGCTGCTTATTGGTGTTCTGGAGATCCAGCTATCCTGAGATGCATGTATATTTTACTAAAATCAATGGACGTCTCAATTATCATTGAATTGGAATATTTCATACTTCACTTGTGGACAGAGAAACATAATTGTTAGCTAATAGCCCACAGCTATTTTTTGGTTTAC